TGCGCCTTCGCGGCTGGATGCGCCTCTTCCGAGCCCAGCACCGCCTCCGCGGACGCAGGGACGACCTCGGGTGTCACCGGTGCGCCCACGCCCTCCTCGTGCAGTGCGTGCTCCTGCGCCTTCGCGGCTGGATGCGCCTCTTCCGAGCCCAGCACCGCCTCCGCGATGCAGGGACGACCTCGGGTGTCACCGGTGCGCCCACGCCCTCCTCGTGCCGTGCGTGTTCCTGTGTCTCCACGGCAGCAGGTTTCTCTTTAGTCGGTGCTGGTTTGTTTTCTGTTTGCAGAAATGCTCGTTGTTCTTGTTTCGTTGGGGTATTTGTATTTTTGTCTTCCTTTTTGGGAGCAGCGGCGTATTGTTCCTTGGCTGCGGTGTATCTTGTTGGAGAAATTCTGTCGACATTCTCCTTTTTGGTGGCCCCGGTTTCCATATTTGGCGTGGTCAACTGTGGATGAGATTGCATGAGCCGAATTTGCCTGGTTGGTGTTTCTCGCTTCACTCGCGGTTGCGTTGGCGGCTGGGGTTTGTAGTACAGCGTAGAGTCGTGCATCGGGGCGCGATAGGTCCTGGAGTACGCGTCGCTGTCTGCGTGGGTGTGTAGGAGAACACCCATTGCCGCTGCGTCGGCGGAGTGGCAGTTGTGTATGTGTAGTGTCTGTGGTTGCGCGCGACGCGGCTGCGGGGACGGTGACCTACGCGTGTGGCTTGAGGGCCGCTGGCGGTATGTTGCATGCAGGGATCGCTGGCGTTCGCGCTGCTTCCGTTTCTCCATCTCGAGGTAGTAGAGGCGGTTAACGAGTTCGTTCTGCATTCGTCGCGTGAGTACGCTGGGTATTGGCGAGCGCCGCCGCTGCCACCGACGGCGGCGAGTGGGATGCGGCGGGGACTGCTCTGCCGCTGCCGTGTGGGCTTGGACTTCGGCTACCACCTCGTGCTGCTCCACCGGCGCGCGGTCGCCCCAGGACAAAGTCATCAGACACGTGGAGGCGCTTCGCCTGCTGCGAAACGGACCTTGCGCCTCAAGGGGCGCCCCCCCACGCCTTTCCCCGCCGACGAGCAACAGTTTGATGTGCGGAGCGCTGGAGATGGGCAGTCGCTGTCGCGCGCGTCGGTAGCAGCGGAGCCGCCGCCCGGATGCGACGGTGACCTCGCAGATGGCACCGCCGATGCGTGAAGGGCCAGGTGGACAGTTGAACTGGACGGCGCGCCAGAGGTTGGAATTGTGGGAAAAGAGATATACATTCATCTGCGGCGACGGTGTTGCCGTCTCCCCCTCCACGAGAATGAGGCAGGGGGTGTTGTCTACGACGGCCGTGTCAAGAGCGGCGAGCCGCATGGCGGGCGGCGCCGTCGCCCCGCTGTGCCAAATGCGCCGCCATCTGCAGGTGGCGAGGTCCAACTCGTGCAGGTCGTCCAGGAGGTCTCCCGCCGCCGACGTCCCGCCGTACACGTACATGCTGGCGTCTCGGGTGGCCGCCGCGTGGCCGTGGCGCGGCTCCGGGCAGGCAGAACCGCCACAGACGTGCCTCGACCACGCGCGCGTCGACAGGTTCAACACGAGAAGCTCAGAACAGCTACACACCACCTCCACAGCCTCCCCTGCGGCCCCCTCGCCGGTGGAACTAGGGAGAGGTTGCAGGTTACTAGGTGACGATGACCGCGGCGCCGCACAATCACGCGACGCCTTACCGCCAACCACAAACATGCAGTTGTTGTAATACGCTGCCGCGTGCCGCCAGCGTGCCGTGAGAAGCGAATGGACCGCTTCCGCAGGTTGTATGGTCTTCACACGCTCAACGACTTTTTCGGCGAGGGAGATGCACCAGACATCCTTAAAGTACCCCAGCGGAGCAGCGCGATGGTCTTGCCTGGCCGCCGCGTCTGCGTCGTCGCACCCACCGATGTCTTGCGTGTCCGCCGTTTGGAGTGGCTCCATCGCGCTCAGGCCACCTCCGCCGTACACGTAGACGGCGTTTGTCAAGGGACAGTACACCGCCGTGTGCCCCTGCCGCGCCGTGAAATCCCACCGGCGGCGGCCACGATGAAAGTGCGTGGGGGCTGACGCGGCATCCGCGGCGAAAGGCGTCCACGCATTCGCGCCGAACGAGTAAAAGTGGAGCATGGGCTTGGCGCCGCCTCGAATTCCCCCCACAAGCAGCGCCCCCTCACGGCCGCAGCGGGTTAGGGTGTGGTAGCGCACGCGAAGCTGCGCCCCCTCCGGGGCCTCGACGGGGGTTAAAAAGGGCACAAAGAGACAACCAGGGTGCTGCAGACGCTTGTCCTCCTCCTCCTCCTCCTCGGCCACTTGCCAGCGTCCCTGGCTCTCGCTCTCGCTCGCGGCGCGGCCGTGGCGCGGCCCTCCCTGGTCAACGAGTAGAGAACCGTGGCTCCAGTCAATGACGGCTGCCTCGGCGTCGGCGAAGCCCGTGCCACACCCTGCGAGGGCGTCCGTGGTGATGCTTAGCTCGCATTGCCCGTCCACACGAAGCGAGACGTGCATTTGGGGCGCGTAGGCGTCCCCAAAGACAAATTGGGTTTGGGCTGGGGAAGCCAGCCCCAGCAGCGACACCGCCGCGCGTACCGTGGTGGCGTCCACGCACGAAGCGAGGTGACCGTCGCCTTGCTGCATCGTCGACTGTGAACGGGACCAAGACTGGGACGGGGAACGCCAGCGGGGGGGGCGCCCCCACCGCAGTGAGCGCTCCTCAGACAACTGCCGTGGCGGGGAAGCGTACGCCTCGTCCTGACGGATGGGGGTGCTTGCGACGAGCAACACGCCGTACGCCTCCCCTGGACGAAGTGTGCGTGTCACTCGCACAGCCCAAAGGTGCGGGGCGGGCACAGGCAACATGGACGAGCGTGCAGAACTCGATGCCGCCTGCACCCACTCCGCGTCAAGGTATAGCTGCAGGGCGTCGCTTATGCGAGACACGCCGGCGATGGTGCAGCACGGGGCCAGAGAGGTTGTGAGGTCCAACTCCAAATAATTAACGGCGTTCATGGAAGTCATGCTGCCTTGCAGCGAGGCTCCCCGCTCTTCGGGTGGGGAAAGGGTTTTGACAAACCGCTTTAACGATTTCCAGGCTGCCCGGCGCGCGTCGTGGCTGCAGTGCAGGTGCGTCTGTGGTGAAGGGGGCGGTGGTGTGTAGGGGACAAGCGCCACGCACAGCGTCCGCCGCGCCGCGTCGGTCACAAGAACAAACTCTCTGCACGGGATCGCTTGACCCCGCGGCTGCAGCACCGCAGCCATTTGCATCAACACCGACTGAAAGCGGCGCGACGCCCGCATCCGTTCGTCCCCGGCAAACTCGCAGGTGCTAGAGCGAAACCAGAGGCACAGCGCCGCCGTGGAATCCGACACCGAGGCCAAGGTGCCGTGTGGCTGTCGCAGCAGCTGACACGAGCGAATACAAAGGACATTCTCAGTCTGTGCATAGGTGCTGTGCTTCACGGTGCCGGCGAGCCGCAGCAGCGCACACTCCGTGGGCCGCTGAGAGTCAAAATCCATGGCTAGATGGACGTCGATGGGGCACGTGGTGGCCGCTTCCCTCTGCGACCCACCTTGTCCCGAGAGGAGCACCACGTGCCCCTCAGCGACACAGCAGCCATTGTGCAGCTGCTCCGCCTCTTCACGCGCCGCGAAGGCCAAGACCTGGCACCGCAGCAGGAGATTCCCATTGTCGTCGTTGGCATCATCCCTCGCGGCACGCGGCACAAACAAGACGCGATTAAACACGACCTCGAGATTCAGCCCATCCTGCAGGGGACCATGCAGCATCAGCTCTGTCCCCTCCACAACGCGGGAAAAGGCCCTTGCCATGCTGTCCTTGACGTCTGAGACGAGGATGCGGAGGGAGTGCGCCACGACACCGCCACGTTGATGCAGCAGAGCCACGAGGTTCTGACAACTTGGGGCAATGACTTGAAAGGTGTAGCTCTGCAGGCAGACCGGGCACTCGGAGGTGGCAACTGGCAGCGGAGATTTATGAGATCCGAGGCGGTACCGCAGGCTGAGGGAGGTCGCCTGGCTGGAGCTGTTCGTCATGAGTGGCACGGAGAGCCGCCTCCACGCGCCGAGTTGCAGAAGCTCAAGGGGGACACAGGCGTGGTACAGGATCCCCTGGGGGTCCGCTTCCGTGTGCAGTGTGGCCGCAATCGAGAGGCACGCAAAGGGGTGTCCCATTGGGAAGAAGAGGGCTTGAGCGCCGTTGGCGGACGCTGCGCCCTCCAGCGTCACCACGGCATGCCGACAGGGGGCAACGTCCCCCGACAGCGGCACGCACTCGAGAGACGCGACAGGGTGAGTAAGCCACACTTCTGCCACCACGTGTTGCCGCTGCTGTTGCAGCAGCGGCGCAAGTTCCTCGCCGCAAAGGAGTTCATCCAGACGCACCTCAACGTGCACGGGACGCTCCGCGCTCACCGCCTCATAGTTGAGGACAGCCTCGCGGTACGTCGACAGGGTCATGAGCATGAAGCCCAGGCTCACGTCGTCCGCGTCGCAGTGAACCGTCGTCTGCGCTGCAGCGGCTTGCCCCAAGTAAGGGTGCGGCGTCCACTGGAGACATGGATCCGCAGCTTCGTCTGCAGTGGCCCACGCACGCGGCAAGGGCAGAGGCACTCGGCCCTCGCCCAGCGGGCAGATGCCCGTCTCGGCGTTCTCGCCTGTGCCGCTCAGCGCCGAGGCGGAGCGCCACCCGCCACGGGAGAGAGAGGGCGAGGGTGTGCGGGAGTCCGTGGCGGGCGACTTCCCGCGTTTCGAGTATACTTCCAGCACGCTGCAGCGAACCCGCAGCGGCACAGATGCCGCAGCGTCGCGCACTGCGGGGCGGAGGCCAATGAACGACGGAAGGAGGCAGGGCGGGCCCATCTGGGCTACCTTGGCGGCGTTGTCACGCGTCGTCCCAACGGTGTTGAGTATGCAAACAGGCTGTAATGGGCTCGCGTCGTCGGCACCTTCAAGAGAAAGCGAGATTTCAACGACGCGGCTCAGTGCCGCATTTCGGCGGCGCAGCGAGAGCACCGAGGCAAGAAGCACAAGGCGATGCGACGGCGCCTCTGCAAAGAGGCTGGATGCCGCCGAGAGCTGCTCCTGCGGTGGCAGCAGCGGCGTGGCTGCGGGGACGCCACCACCCGTGCTACGGCCCTCCAACGCCCGCAGATGCCTGTGGCCGTCAGCTGCCGGGATGACTTCCCCGGCAACTCCCTCGCCGCTGCCAGGGGAGCAACCGGAGACGCCTACCTCCCGTCTTTGTGATGGGTCACGTGGTGGTGGGGCTGGGGTGAAGCGTCTGGGGTAACTGTTCAGCTCAAACAGTCTCCTTCCGCAGCCCTCGGCCTCGCCTGCGCCTGCGCCTGCCATGCTGCAGGAGAGGGTCGATGCGTGCTCGGCCGCGTGCACCAGCCCGTCCCCCGTGGACTGGGCAAGGTGCAGGGACCAAATCATCACCACCTGAAAGAACTCCGTCCCCAACCGATGTGAGCGGAGCGTGATAAGCGTCTCTGGCACACGACGGGCATCGACGCACACAACGTGGTGGGTGCTCTCGCCGTCGTCATCGGTAGGCGCTGGGGCGACAGCCAGCTCGTACGTGCGTGCGCTGCCGCTGCCGCCGCCGCCGTCCGCCGAGGAGGGGAGGGAAAAGGACATGGACGCCCCGGCAGAGGCGGGCAGCGCACGTGAGAGTGTGGCGGGCGCGTGCGTTGGGACGCCAACCCACTGCCACTCACACTGCGGCCCACCGAAGCGCACCGCCACTTTGGGCTGGCGCGGGATGCATGAGAAAATCTCAATACGAACGGTGGCGCGCCCGCTTCCCTCGTCACCCTCGTCTGCCATTCGCTTGCGCGCTCGTAGGCCGACGCGCCCCCTCCCTCCTCCAGAGAGCTGTTCCTTTTTGTTTTTGCTTTACTCTTTTTGTTTTTGTTTTGCTTTGTCCTTTTTTTTTTACTTTTGTTGTCGTTGTTGTCGTTTCCTTATTATATATATATTTTTTCCTTTTCCTTTCGCTTCTTCCTTTCTGGTCCTCCCTGCAGGTGAGGAGTGCGACAACAGCGACAGGGCGGTCAGAGGCAACGCGGTGAGGCGCCGCAGTGACGGGAGACGTCAGGCGAAGCACGCACACACACACACAGAGAGAGAGAGACGCGTGGGGGGAGGGCCCTGCGTGCCTGCAGCGAACTAAAGGTACCCCTCATTGAACCCAATGGAGACCGTCTGCTGCCCAATCTCCTGCCGCTGGTAACACTGCCGCAGCGCCTTGTTTTCGCGGCGCTCCCGCCCCAGCGTTGTCATGCGCCCGTGACCAGGCAACACGACGGTGTTGTCCGGCATGACCTCAAACAGCCGCAGGCTCTCGGCGAGGCGGGTTCCCGTCGCCCACGGCAAGTCCACGCGGCCCACTTTGTTGTAAAACAGAAGATCGCCCGTGAAGAGGAGCTTTTCTGTGGGCACGTGCAGCATCATGTGGCCCGGCGAATGACCTGGGGAGAAGATGTAGTACAGCAGCACGCCATCCCCAAAGTCGATGAACGAGGATGCCCGATTCGTGGCGGTGGAGAGGAGCATGTCGTTTCGCCGAAAAAAACCCCGGCGAGCGGCACGCGGGTCAGGAAACCCGGAGGCTGCAGCGTCCCCCATGTGCTGCGGCGTGTAGAGGTTCCGCCGCATCATGGGCAAGGTCACATGCATCTCTTCAAAGCGGCGGTAGCGCTCGCAGGCACGCCCAAAATTCTGCACCCAGCACTCCTCCGCGGGGCACCACAGGAGGGCAATCTCCTCACTACCGTCACTACCTTCCGCGTGTTCCAAATCTAGCTCCTCCTTGTCGTGCTCTCTCGGCTGCTGCTGCCGACGTCCACAGATGCTCAGAAAGGCATTCAAGTTGATGACGTTGTCAATATGACAGTGTGTGAGAAAAATGTGCGTCAGGGTGAGCGACGAGGAGGCGATGAAGGCGGCCCAGTCATCCGGCCAGTCATCCGCGGCGTCGATGAGCATGCAGTGCTTCGTGGCCCTATTGATCAGCATGTACTGGTTGCTGTCAAAGTTGTTGCAGTGATTGCGTCCAGCCAGCATCACTTTGGGCGACTCGTGCAGGACGGCGATGGACTTGGCCTCCAGCCGCGGGATGCGGGGAATCCCTGGCGGGGCCCCGGCACTGCCCCACTTGCGCAGCCGCTCACTGCGATTGACTTGGTTGGTCAGCGAGGCAAGGTTGGGGCCGTGCCCGCAGCGGGGACGCGGAGTGCGACGCATCGCTAACTGCAGCCGCAGTGTCTCTCGTCGCCGCGAGCACACACGCACGCGCACTGCACAGTGGCGGAGATGCGGGGAAGCGGAGCAAGAGAGACAGAGAAGCAGCAGCAGCAGAAAAGAAGGTGAGACCCGCAAGTTCTTTTTTTTTTAAAAAAAAACTTCGTTGCTGTTGTTGGCGGAGGACGCATTCGGCAGCGAGAGGCGTCGCCGCCCACTCGACGAGAAACAGCCGCAGCAGCGGCGGCCGAGTAGCACACGCACAAACACCCGTGAAGACAGGCGCACAGCCTCGCACCTCACGCAGAAGATCCCTCTGAGCAAAGCAACACTTAATACACTGCGTGACGGTCTCCTTTTCACAGCGGTCCCACGCCCTTCATCTCCTCCTCCTTCCCTCCTCTTTTTTCTTTCTTTTCTCTTTTTCGTTCTCTTCGCTTTTTTTTGTTCGCTTTGTTTTTTTTTTGACCTGCCCACCGCATCCGCCCGGCACGCACCCCTCCCCACACGTGCCACACACGACGCCCTCGTCCCTTTGCTCGCTCCTCTCCTCCCCCACTTCGGTCTCCATCTAGATGGATATATATATATATATATGTATGTATAGCGTTGTTGTTGTTGTTTCTGGTTTTTTACTTCCTTTTCGTATTCCTTCTCGTCATTCTGTTTGCCTCGCTATCGCTCCCTCCCTCCTTCGCTTCGACTCCGCCCGGCGTGCCCTCCAGCACACGCACTCGCACTCGCACACCCACGCCTTGGTGGGAGACAAGTATAAATACAAAGAAAAGCACACGCAGGTGTCATCAATAAAACAAACCCACACAACATTCTGCCCCACCCCCCTTTTTTTTTTAGTTTTACTGTTTCCTCTCTTGTCGTTTAACGCCATCCCCCCGCTCTCTCCCTCCCTCCCTCTCCCGTGCCTCCGTTGGGGGAGAGGGGACGTCAAAAGTTGCGGAAGCGGTAGCGGATGACGGGGATGTCCACGTCGACGTCGCCCATGCTGCCGGTGGCGATCAGGCAGCAGCAGTCCTCGCCGTCCTGCAGCTGCTCCCCGCGCTCCTGCACCACAGCGGAGACCGGCCTGCCGCGGTCCTTCGTGTTGCCGAACTGCGAGTAAATCATCTTGCCGCTGGCGAGGGCGATGATGAAGAGCTCCACCTGGTAGCGGCTCTCGAGCGCGGAGACCAGCTCCTGCACCGTCAGGTCGCGCCCCTCGTTGACGTCGATGCGGTCCCAAATACTCCAGCGAACGGACTGCCCGTCCGGCATCATGTACGACGAGCCAGGGGCCATGATGGGGTCAGAAAAGGCAAAGAACGGCAAAGCAAGATTGACAAAGGAGTTGCGGTAGATGCTAAGCTGCTCCTTTATCTCGTCCTGCGCGGGCACGGCGTTGGCCGGCCTGCCACTCTTCTCCCAGCGCCAGGTAAGCAGCAGGCGCTTGAGCAACTCCAGCCCCACGAGGCCCGTGACGAGGGCGGTGGTTGTCAGCATTGCCGGAATGATGTTCCCTGCGACACGCTTGGTGTGATGCACACCCGCGGGCGGAATGCTGTACGCGACGGCACGCATGTTCGAGCAGGCCGTAATGTACTCCACATGGTGGTTCGTAGGGTCATCCTTCTCGAACAGCAGCGGAAACATGCGGCGCCCGTGAAAGTTGCCCACCGGCGGCAGGTCCTGCAGGCGGACGTCGGCGGCCAGTTGTGCCACAGGCTCCTCCTTCTCCGTCTCACTGGTGGCAAAGACGGCTTGGCGCGGCACAAACGCAGGCACCGCGGTCTCCTGCGCCAGCCGCACCACCTCCTCGCGCGAGAGCATGAACGGCGGCAGACCGTACACGCACGCGAGCAGGTAGGCGCAGTGGTACACAAACGACACGCTCCACTCGGAGTCTGGCGCGAACTCCTGCGGGGTTGGCGGCTTTTTTGCACCGCTCCAGAACAGTTCCCCGTTATCGTTGCGCTTGTCAACCGGGATGTTGTAGAGCAGCTGTCGGAAGGCGTCATTAAAGTACTCATGGTGCAGCCTTCGCGCGATCCGCACGCAGTCCGCGGCGTCGGCCGGCCACCGCACCAACGCATCTCGAACCGCCTTCAGCGACAGTGTTTTGTTAGCCGGATCCCGCTCCAATTCGGCTGCAAACACGACGGGGTCCTGCAGGTACGCGTTGACCTCCTCGGGTGTGCTGGTGAAGAGCACGTGGAAGTTGTCCCGCGCCCACTGAATCGTGTGCTCAATGGCGTTGGGGAAGTTCTTCAAGGTGCAGAGCGGAATCGACTTCTCCGGCGGGTCATGGCTGCTGCTGTAGCTCTCCGTGCAGTAGGGGATGATGCACTGCACGTTGCACTTCGTTCCCAGCGTGCCACTCTCAAAAAGGGCCTTCCTGTAAAAGAGGCAGCGGCTATCCACGTACTTGCGACTCTCCACGTTGTCGAGCGCGTTGAGGACGACGGCGTGCGAGTCCCAAAATCTTTCATTAAAAATGCCCTCCGTCTCGGCCGAGACCTTCTCCACGAAGGAGTTCACCTGCAGGTCATGGTTGATCGCCCTGGCCGCCTCCCCCGCCACCTTTGACTTGTGCTGCCCAATGTGACTGTTGCGGAAGAGAAACTGGCGCGAGAGGTTGCTCATCTCAACGTTGTCCATGTCTGTGATGGAGATGCCGCCCAGCCCCATGCAGGCGGCATTCTTGATGAGCTCGCACCCCAGCGCCCCGGCACCAATGATGAAGGCCCACTGCGTCGACAAGTACGACTGAAACTCGGCCCCAAGAACCGCAATCTGCTGGTCGTAGCGACTGCCAGTCGGGGTGGGGGGGCGCAGATCCGCCTCCGTCACCTCGCCGCGGGCGACAAGCAGCTCCCTTGCATCGTAGTACAGCCATTGCTGTATCGGCGTAAACTTCCCACTGCACACCTTTAGCACCTCCTGCGAGGCGATGCCCCCAATGAAGCACGCCATCGGGTTAAGATTTCCATGAATCACAGAAAGAACAGACTTGGCGGCTGCCGCGTCAAGGTGGCCGCTGTTGCAGCTGCTGTAATACGCCTCGGCCGCAGTCAGCACGCTCTTCACCTCCGCGGGGGTCGATGGCAGCGTGCCGTGATCGTGCAGGGCCCGAAAGACGGCGTGCAGCGTGGCTGGGGCGTTCAGTTTGTGCTCACTATCAAAGACGGTAATAAATGCCGGGTCGGCGACGCTCTGCTCCAGGTCCTTAAATCCCATCAGCACGTGTCGCTTTGTTGTGTGGAGGTAGGCGGCGGTGCCAACGTCGATGGGGTCGTCGCCCACCACCGCCTCGAAGTTCTTCAGGCGCAGAATGTACGGCGAGATGACCTCCGCCACCTCGAACAGGTTCAGCGAGGAGGAGGCGGCACTGTGGCAGCGGCCGTGCAGAGCGGATGGGTCAATGTCCGCGTTCACCGCGGCAGGCGAGACGACACCTGTGAAAAAGATATGGCTCCCCACCTCGCACTCGTGGTTCTTGTCCTCATGCAGCGAGACGACGCCGTCGCGCGAGATGCTTGTGACGATGCAGGAGACCGTCTCCTCGCCGTCGGGGTCCAGCACGCTGAAGGAGGGCCCCGCGTCCACAAAGACGCACCCCACAATACCCCGGCTTTCACACGCCACAAACTTTACACCGTGCCTCCGTGCGAGGGCGTTTTCGCCGGAAAGCGCCGTGGTGCGTTGGTTCGCAAACACCACCACGTGAACGGTGGGGAGCACCTCATGCAGCGGGCGCGTCACGGCGGTGACGCTGACGAAGCGATTCAGCTCCTGCGCCCGCGCCGCCACCACGCCCGCCCGCGGCTTGCCGACGTCCTGCGGGGTCAGAAAGAAGTTCGTGCCGAGGTCCTGCAGGGTGGCGGCGCCATCGTCCATGACTTTGATCGAGCGCACCCCCGTGAGGGCGAGGTTCTTCACCAGCTCCGCCCCCAGCCCGCAGGCCCCCACGACGAGGACGTCGGTGCTGCCGTACTTCGCCTGCGTCTCGGCGCCCACGACGTACTCCTGCCGGTTGTACAGCTGACGCTTCTCTTCCTCGTGCGACATCGTCCCCGGCGCCGTTGTGTCTTCTCCCCCCTGCCCCCTCCTTTTTTTTTTGTTTTGTTTTGCTTTGCTTTGCTTTTGTTTGCACTGCTGCTGCTGCCTCGCTTGGTTGCTGTCGGTTTTGTCGGCTTCCCGCCCCCGCCCCCAGAGAAAAAGAAAGAAAGAAGGAAAAAAAAAGGCTCAGCGATGAAGACCACTCCGGGAGGTGTCGCGGGTGATGACGGGGAGGCGGGGGAGGAAGAGGGGGAGGGGGAGGAGGAGGCAGCCGCGGATGTTAGCCTTCACTCAACGCCGCCTGTCTAACCCGCTCTCGCCTACTGCCCACGCGTTTTGCGTCGTCAGCCCCTTATCTCTTCCACTTTCGTCCATTCTTTTTTCTTCCGCCTCCCCGCACGAAGTACTTGTCGCCGCCGCCGCTGTCGCTGCAAACTTCTCCCGAACAAACTCGGGGCCATGCACACGCAGGCACGCAGAGGCACCAGAAGAATAACAGGGAGGGAGGCGCGAGAGGAGAGATGCATGCCCGCATGCAGGCAAAGTGACGTGTACGGCAAATACGCGTGCACCCCTGCGTGCACGGCAGGCCCTAGCGGTCACGCACTCGCGCTTTCGTTTGCTCACCACCGCGGGTGCGTGGGTGCGGGCTCGGGGCGCGAGAATACATGCAGCCCCACGTACTGATGTCTCCCACCACCAGCACCAGTACAACCACCCAAACAACCAACAAAAAAAAACGGAAAGAAACATGTGTACACGCCTCGACACAAACACGCGGACCATTCATCTACCTTCGCGCCCTCTCGCTCGCTCGCCCGCTCGTCCTCTCACCGGCGCCAGGCGAGGTGGGCAGGCGTGGCGGCGTTAACCGCAGCCACGGCGGCCAAACATGAAGAGTAACCCGGCCGACACGTGTAAAGGGCGGCGGCGGCGGCATACGGCCCCACGCCTCATTTATTATTTTTTTTTCCTCTTCTTTTCTTCCTTCCGTCTCCCACTGGGCCCACTCTCCCTGCCCCTCTCTCCCTCTCCCTCTCCCTCTCCCTCTCCCTCTCCCTCTCTCTCCCCTCTCCTCTCCGACACACACCTACTCAGCCACACACATGAGGCCGCTGAGGACGGCGCGGTGGAAGCGGAGGCGCACGCACCCCCAAAGAAGAGATAAAATAATAACAGCAGCAGCAGCAGCGGTAAAGGGAACTGTGTCGCCGCACCCTCAGCTCGAACACGGCAGAGGGGCCCACCACCACCACGGCGAGCGAGAGGCAGAAAAATAACCGCGTCAAAAAGGGACGCTACATCATGAGAGGGAGAGAGAGAAAGACAAACGGTGGACAAGCAGGCGGGAGGAAGCGAAGGAAAATCACAACAACAAGTGTGGGAATAAAAAAAACGAAAACAACAACAGTGCAGGGACAATCTACTACGGAAACCAAAACCAAAATAGCAACAACTCACAATCACAGCATCGCTTTTGCTTATATGGTGTTATATGAGTGTTTGTATAAATTGATAACAGTTTTACAGACGATGGTGAAAACGTGCCATTGGAGTGTCACTTTCATCGCATGACTCCAGAAGTATACATCCATCCATCCATACATGTGCGCATATATATATATATATATCTGCTGATGAAGTGTGAGCAGATCGCCCTTCGCATTCACACCCTCTTCTCTAACTGACATGTAAGTGTCTGTGAGTGCGTGTGGATGTGTGTGTGTGTGCGTGGAGAGGTGTTTCCTGCACACATCCCGTGTACAGCCAGCTGCCGGCTTCGCCGTTACTTCGATTCTTTGGTCTCCCACTCTCCTGCTTTCTCGCTATTTGCCTCATCGCGAGTACTCACACCTCACCCTTGCACTCCCCCCCCCAAAAAAAAAAAAAAAACTACACTCCACTCCTTTCGTTTCCTCCTGCTCTCAAAAAACAAAACAAAAAACATCAACAACAAGTTATTTCCTTACCACATCTATGTATGCCATCCCAACTTTTGCTTTTGCTTTTCCTCAAGCCACGAGGGGAGGCGACCAGGGCATGGCCCCGTGCGCCCGCCCACTCTACTCTGCCCTGCCCGCCGCCCCACGCCGCGGCCCACGCACGCCGGTGCGGAAATGGAAGGGACGGCAACTCCAGCGGATGTGAAGAACCAGAGCGCGGGAAACGTGCCGGACCCCGCGAGTCAAGGAAGCCAACGAGCCACCGCCTCACTTTTTCCCCCGCTTCCGCAACGTCGCCCGCAGTTCCTCCTGTCGCAGTCGCAGCTCGTCTAATTTGCGCCGCAGTTCGTCGCGTTCCCGCTGCAGCTCCACGGCGTCCTTTTCGTCCTGCGCCACCCTCGCGCTCCAGCCCGGCTGCTTGCTCTCATTGACCCCCGCCTCCATCATGTCCGCCTTCTTGTTGGTCGCCTCCAGGCCGCGGCGGGCGGCGTCAACGCGGTCCTGTAGGGTTAGCTCCTTCGGATGCGCATCCGCGGCCCCGCGCTCGGCAGACTCCGCTGCCCGCACCTCCTCCAGCGCGGCCGTGTACTGCGCCTCCAACACAGCGAACAGCTCCGCCTCGTTCTCGCTTTTGCTCTCCCTTTCTGCGATCATCACACGCAGTTTCTCCTCGCGTTTCCGCTCCGCCTCTAGCTTGTGCTGCAGCTTTTCCCGCTCCTCCTTCAGCGTGGACTGTTTAACGCAGACATTTTCCAATTCCTTCTGTCTCGCCTGGAGCTGGCTAGCAAGCTTTTCATGCTGCGCCTTCAGCAGCTTCATCTTCTTCTGCCACACGGCACGTTGCAGGGCACGCAGCACAGTGATGGCGCTGAACCTCTGCTTTAGGCCGCTCAACACCTCCTTGTTTTTCGCCGTCTGACGCGCCATGGCTCGAGACTCCCTCTCTAGTCGCTCGGCAAGCTCCTGCTTCTGCCGCAGCGACTCCCGCAGCGAGTCCATGTTCTGTCGTTGAATGCGCACTGCGTCGTGCAACTCCCCCGCCTTGTTCGCCATGCCGTCCGCCACCGTCGTCTGGGCGTCATTCACCTTCACCAGCGTCACGAGATTGCGGGCTTTGCTGCTCCACTGCAGCGTCGCGAGCGTGTCGCCGTAGTTCTTCACGAGCGGGCTGATGGTCGCCACCATCGTGGTGCGGGCGTTGCCCCCGATGCTGTCGCTGAGCAGCCAAGTCAGCACGCTATCACGGAAGGGGACCTGCGGCAGGGTGCGCTCCTGGTAGTACGCCCCGGTAATTTCTGCCTTGGCCTGTTCCATGAGCATATTCTGCCGCTCCGTCAGGTTGTCAATCACGCGACGGAGCGCAAGCAGCGACGTGTTAATCGCCGCCGACTCCTTCACGTATTCCTGAAACCCACCGCGCTCGGACCCTGCAAGGTCGACCAGGTTGATGCGGCCCGCCTGGTAGCGCACCGCGGGCCGTGAGTAGCGGTCCTTCGCCGGCAGTGTCCGCTCCTGAATGACCGTCAGCTGAAAGATGGCGTGACTGCGGCTGGACTGATTGTGCACCGCCGTGGCACACGTCGTTCGGTGCATGGAGCCACGCTCCAGCAGGAGGCAGCACTGCGCCCAGTTTTCTATTTGGTACTTCGTCACCCCCTCCACGAAGGGGCCACTGTATGGGTCCTGACGAATGCGGGCGTCCTGCAGCTTCTCATTGCCCTTCGAGTTCTTCAGCGCGGGGTCCAGCAGGTCTCGTACACGCTCCATGTAAATTTCCACAAAACTCACCTCGACGCGGAATCGCACACGCTCGTTCGTATCTGTTTTTCTCGCCTCCTCCGCTTGTTTACCGGCGAGAATCAAAAATAAGTCATTTGAGACGCGTGGGATGATGCCCTCCTCCCCGTCCCCACCACACGAGGCGCTGGGGTCGTAGATGCCCATCATGGTGTACGTCTTGCCGCTGCCGGTCTGCCCATACGTCAGAATGCAGCTGTTGAATCCGTCAAAGACGTGCGGAACGAGGCCCTTTCCGATGAGTTCATAAACGTCCTTCTGCGTCGCGTAGCTGCTGCGCTTCGTGTCGTGAAAGGTGTGGACGATGCGGTGCTCCGGCGGGATTGACCACAGGCTGGCGTCAAACTCAAACTGGGCCTTGGGCGCCCATCCATCCTTTGGGTCCAGAATCACCGTCTTGTTGTCCGTCATCTCCACCACCGAGCGGCGCTCCTGGCTCCCCATCTCGGCCAGCTCCTCCGCGATGAAGGGGCGCACGCGGGAGAAGACCTTGAAGCGTGTGATCTCCGTCACACGTGAACGGAAGGCCTCTGAGGTCTCATGGGCGTCGTCCATCACGGTGTTTCGCCCGTTGAGCTCCGCATTCGGCGCATTCTTCACCTCGCGCCGCTGCGGCGTTGTTGGGCGAGGGGGCAGCGCCGGCGGCGGCGGCGACTTCTTCGCCGGGCTCGTGCCATTCCTTCGAATGGGTTTCGAGATGAGTTTCGGCTCGCTGAGGGTCGGCTGATTTGGCCTCATTTCCTCTCTTTTTGTTTGTTTGTTTGTTTCGTTTTTTCTTTGCTTCCTTTGCTCGGGGTTTTGTCCTTAAAAAGAAAAAAAAACTGTTTACCTTACCTCGGGCTTCTTCCCTTGCGCGGGCTGACTACTTCCTCCGCTGGTGCTGTTTCCTCGGCTGTTAGCTCCCTTCCACTTCTGCGCGGCGGGAGGGAAGAAAGAGGGGCGCGAGGAGGACCCGTTGGGCGCGAGCGCAAAAGAGACGCAGACACGCAGAGAAGGGCGAGCCTCGCTGGCCACCCACCAGCAGCGCCTACCGCCCCGCCTCAGAGTCAACTGCGCAGATTCTCTCTTTCTCTTTCTCTCTCACACACACAAACACACAAACACACAGACACACACTACCGACAACCGCCTCTTCTTCCTCTTCCCATTCGCAGCCCGTCATGATTGCCGCTGCTGTGCCCGTTACTAACCGGCATGCGTGCCAGGCGTCTGTGTGCGTGTGCGTGGAAGGGGCAAGAGGGTTTCATTTGCCTCGCAGGTAACTCTACATAAAGGATGCGAGGAGGGAAGCTTAAAAAGTCAATCCACACAGACGCAGCGACACTATCCCGCTCCCACACCGCTACTACTTCCTCTTCTTTGGCGGAGCAGCGTCCACTGCAAACTCAACCTCCATGTCGTCGGCGTTCTGAATGATGCGCACGGCCTCGGCGCGGACGCAGGCGGTGGTCTCAAGCAGCGGCAACGCACACGCCGCCTCCGTCGTGCAGCGAAGGCAGTCTAACGTGGAGCAAAGCCGCATAACGGCGTCGCCGACCAGCCGTCGCATGCCGGCAAAGAGACGGGCGCCGTGTTCCTCCTTGAGCGCGGCCTCTGCCGCGGGGTCACCCGCCGCGTCTGCGTCGCCGTGCGCCGACGGCTTATCCGCGTTTCCTAAGCGACCAGTGTTGGCGTCCGCCGCCGCCGCGCCCTTTCCCCCTTTGGTGGATGCCCTGCCCTGCGATCTGCCGCCTCCGCCCGCCCCAGAACCAGCGCCGCTGCCGCCGCCAGCGCCCTTGCGCCCTCCCGCAGCGGCACCGCTGGCCAAGCTACCGGGTCCGCGCGGGCTAGTTGCGGAGTGCGCCCCGTTATGTGCCCCGCGGGGCTCGCGCAGTCCGAGTGTGAGCAAGATAGCGTCGTCCAGCTCCCCCGCCTGTCGCGCCAGGGCTGAGAAGGCCACCTTCCCAGCGACGCGTTGCAGGAGGAAATCAAGCGGTTCATCCTCCTGCTCACACACCGTTGCCGCGCGCAGAAGAACGTTCAGTCCCTCCCGCAGCATATTACGCGACACGGCGTCGCGCAACCTGCAAATATCACTCTGTAGCGTCTGCACCGATCCGTCCCACTCCTCATGGTGGAGGGGCTGCTCCAGCGCCGACATCGTTTGGGCGAGATTTTGATGTAACGCATTCAGCCGCTCGTAAACAGCAATGTTGAATGGAAGACGTAGAGCGGCGTACGTTGTGTCGTTCCACGCCTTGCGCCACTTTGCCACCAGCGCCTCCCGTGCCTCTTGGGGCACCTTGGCGGCGTCCAGGCAGGCTTGCGTCGCCCGTGCAATCTCAGCGGTCTCATAGAGGTTGCTGTTCGCCACCAAGGCGTTGATGACCTCCCGCTGCGTATCTGCGACGGCCTTGGCGTCGAGGGCCGCCGAAACAGGGCGGGAGACGGTATCAAGCGCGGGTCCGCCGTCTTGTATAATGGCACACAGCTCCACCACAACGCGGGAGGCGGCGGCGGGGATCATGAGCAGCTCGTAGTGCTGCAAAAAGCGCCCTGGAAATGCCGCCCGCACAGAAAAGGGAAACGTCTCCTCGTCGTCTGGCAGGATGACGCCATCCAGCTGCGCAGAGAGAAAAAAGAAGGACTTGGAGTGCGCCAACTTCTTCGCCAGGGGGCGGAGTGGGATGTTCATTCGCGGTGAATTTCCTTCCGCCGCCGTTTGCTTGCGCTTCACCGGGGACTGCTGAGCACCGCTCGTGCGGAACGTGGCGTCGTCCTCGTCCCGTGACAACGACGCCGCCTCTGCTTTTGCCGCGCCAGGAGCAGTGTCATCGCGGACTTGCTCCCTTCCCTCCTTCTTCTTATTGTTCTCCTTCTCCTTCTCCTCTTTACTGTCGGCATCCTCCGTGGCGCTTTCGCCGTCCAGGGCGGTGGTTGGCTGGAACGGCGCCCAGCTGTAGTAGACCGTCATGGGGCCGCTGTTCCTGACCCTCACGGCACCGTGGACGAGCTCCCCAGGCCGGGCAAAGAAGAGAACGCGTGAAGCGGAGATCTCCAACGAGGGAGTCCCCGCAGCGGCGTCCTCCGTGAAGAGAGTCACATTGACGTCCTTGCTCCCACTTAAGGTTTCCGTTTCCCCCACAGAGAGGGGGCCGTTTTTCTCTATCCCCTCCCGCCCTCCTTGACGCCTTTGCTGCTGCCCCGCCTCAGGCTGCGGGGCCGGCACCTGCAGGACGGCCGGCACGGACCTCTTCGCCGCTGCCGCCGCATCTTCTGCCTTCGTCGTCCACGGGGGTGGCTGCCCACACACCTCTAAGTAGGCCCGCGGCAACAATAGGTGGGGCATGTTCTTTTCGATCAACGGGAAGTACTGCTGAAACCGCTGCTGGTAGTAATCCGAGTCTCGGAAGAGGACGGGGACAGCAGCCGCGGAAGGCTGCTGCGGCCCGCCGCTCGCCACCCTGCGCACGATGTTTTCATTGGGGAAGACGATGCGGGTGTTTGTCAGGTGCTCCACGTCCAGCCGCCGCCGGTCCGTCACCTTCCCGTACAACGCGTAGGGGAAGTTCGTTTGCCCCACCTTGAGAAACCGAACGGCGCCCGTCTCTCCAGTGGTGCGCAGAGTGCTCTCCCACGTGTGAAAGCCGGAGAAGATGGCGGAGGGGACGGCGTTGGTGATCATCCCAACCTCCTCCTCACGCAGTCGCGCCCGGTACGCCCCCTGTGACATGTTCATGCAGGCCCCACGTATCTTGCCGCTGTCACCGAGGCGGCGTTGGATGTTCTCCTGCACAGTGGCCCACACGCGCCTTTGCCTTTCCCATTCCCGCATCGCCTTCCCCTGCAGATCACGCTGATCGTACTTATTAAAAGTGGCCGCGTGCCGCGGAGCGTCCCCCGCACGCGCCGACACGGGCTGAGTCATTCGCTTCCGCCTCGAGGCCTCCCCTGCCGCGCCGCAAAAATAAAAATAAAACAGGTAAATAGATAGATAGAGACGGAAGTCAGAAGGTGGCGAGCGCAGCGTCCCAAGCGTGAGGGCTCAGCCCACGCGCGGCACGGGGCTGCCCGACAATGATGCACCCGCCTGCGCAGGCAACATCCTCTCTGCAGGGGGCAGGTACGTCGGTCAAATGTATACAACTGAATAGAAACAGTTTGCGAGAGACAGACAACACAAGCAAACACACAACAAAACAAATGGCGCATCGCAAACGCGGTGCGCACAACGCCACCGCCGCCGGCATCCTCCTCTCTCTTCTTTTTTTTCTCGCCTTTCGCTCATCCGCCCCTTCGATGCCGCTCTCCCTTTCCGCTCTTTCTCTCTCGCTCCTTTCAGCGACTCTCTATTGTGGCGTCCCACAACGACGACAGCGGCGCACCGCCACCGACGCAGTGCCCAACGGCCTCGTAGAGGTCCAATATGTTCCCCGAGTGCACTGCCCGCTCGTTATCCGCGATGATCTGCAGCACCGGCTGTGAGCGTGCGAGGTGGTGCTGAATAAACCGAAGGCACATGTGCATCGCTGGGTACACGTGCAGGTAGAGGTCATTCAGCACGCAGCGCCGCTGCAGCGCCCGGGTGGGGCACACCTGCAGCTGCCGGCCGAGCCTCTGCGTGTGCTCCGCCACCGCCGCCACCGCCTCCGCCAGCCCCGCGACAATGTCGTCGTCGTACGCAACGAAAAACAAAACGACATCGGACCGCTGCACCTCCTCCACCCCCCAGCGCCGTGAGGATTCCACCTTCTCCGGCGGCGCCCACGGATTCGGGGCTTTGCCCCCGCGGCTCGAGGAACGCGCCGAGGCCGAGCGACACGCCCCGGCAGCTGTAGCGTCTCCCCCCGCGGAGGCGTGTTTGTAGTGGTGCGCCAGCCGCAAAACCACACGGATGCTGTCCAGGTAAAACGTGCCGCCCATCTCCTCCGCTCGCTGCACCACGCCCAGCTGAGGCACGGGCGTCGCTGTCGTGGTGGTGTGGGTGGCGACAGTAAGGGCGCGGTGGTCGCACAAATTGTGACGCGCCCGCACAACTGCGCCGAGGGAAGTCACCGTCCCGCGTGCACTGCCGCGGAAGAGGCGCGTCAGCGAGCGAAGCATGAAGCGGCGCCACTGTTCCCCCGTACAGAGTAAATAAACCCCGTCAGCGTCATTCCCGTCCCGCTGCCTCGCCGTCGCCTCGTCACTGGCGTCATCCTCCGTCTCCGTGGCGGACTCCACGAGGTGATTGTCTGAGGGGGAACAATGACGCGGGTTTGCGTTGTGGCGCGGCAGCGGCACGGCGGGATACCCGTCAAAGTAGGACGCCTCTACGCCTGCAAAGACAGCCACAAGACGCTTCTGCAGCTCCCCCTGCGTCACGGGCGAAAGCCGGTGAAGTATCACTCGATGCATTGCCGCCCGCAACCTCTTATCTACCAGCCCATGACAAATTCCTAATGCACACGCGACCTCGATAAGCAGCTGGCGCAACGCGTGGCCCTCACTACTCTTTTCATGGGGGCCAAACGCAGTTTCCGTGCGCGACGAGAGCTGCCGCTGTGGCGGCAGTGAGGTAGTCGCTAGTGACTGCACGAGGGAGAAGAGAGCGTTGGGGTTCGAAACCAGAAAGGAGCCTGCAACGGCGGGGGCGACGAGAGAAACCCACCTCCAGCAGAGTGCCGCCCATACCGCGTACTGCCTCATATTTGACGGCCAGAGCAACATACCAGAGAGCTGCTCGCCAACCAGCGTCTTGAGAAGCAGGTCGGAGACGAACCCGACGCAGTTTTTCGGGTGCTGCTCCATGATTGTGGCAAGCCACTGACAGGCAGTGGCGACGACTTCCCCCCATTGGCTACGCAGAAGCTTCTCCATCACTTGGGGTGCGGTGGGGTCTTCCTGTAGGACCACGAAGGCAGCCGGATTTCCTGCCAGGTGAACCGCAACTCGCAAAAACAAACACATCGCCGTCATCGTCGCGTTGGGGTGCGACACGCCGTCGCCGCCACCCGCACAAGTTCTAATGTAATGCAGGACGCTGTGGTAGGCCCTACATGCCACCAGCACCTCCGCCGCCCCCTCCACGGCGCTCAGGGTGAGCAAAATGCTGGCCACATCACAGGCCTGCGTTGGCGTGGTCCGCGGGAGACAGCGGAGGAGGGCCTGAATGAGTTTGGGGTGCGTCAGCGCCGCCGCCGCGGTGGGTGCAGATAAGGTTACAAGCATGAGGAGGAACTCCAGCGCCCCACCCACGATGGCGCTCCGCGTTTCTGTGAGGGCGGCGTCGCGACTTCGCCCCAGCGGCTTCCCGGACTTGCCTCTTTTCGCCTCCAACACGGCTTCCTCCGCCTCCGCTTCCGCCTCCGCCGCCGAGTCGTCGTCAAGGGCGACCGAGAGCGTCACCCCCAGTGCGTGAAGCGCGTTGTGCTCCACGGTCAGGAAGTCGTGCACCAGCACCGCTGCCGCCTTTTTGCCCCACACCGTGGTGAGTGAGCCAACGATCGCCTGCATCGCTCCGAGGGCGATCACCTGCGTCCGCTCACTCGGGATGGGCGCCACAGCGAATGCCAAGACGTACGGCAGCACCCCCTCCACATTGGACAATATGTTGGCTTTGTTTTCCGGCAGGGACTCCAACACCCTCAGGAGGTCACGCTCAGCAGTGGCGGGGATGACCCCCAGTTGAAGGTTTTGCTGCAGGAGGTTCCATTGCGCCTGCAGCGCGAGCGCCAGAGGCGTCGGGCGTGCGGTGGAGGCAGTAGCCATCGGCTGGCGCAGGTGCTTTGCGGCTGACCGTGACGTGCGGCTGGTGGGGCGGTGACGCCGCTGCCGCGGCGTCGCAGATGACGTCGCCCCGACGGTTGCCGTTTTCCGACCGCGGCAACACGCTGCGCCCGGCCCTCCCACCTCTCCCCGCCAGAGACGCTACAGTGGCGCACACAACTGCCACCTCTTTCGTTTTTTGCCCCCTCCCTCCTCGATCTGGGTAGGCGCAGACACGCCCCGGCAGCGCACGCACCGCCTCTTACCCTTTTCCTCCCTTTGCGTGTGTGCTCCCTCGAGCGCGTCACGCGGCCGGCGCGGGTGGCGTGTGGTGTCGCTTCTCAACACCCCCCACCGTTTGCTTCCGTCCCCTTCCCCTCCCTCACTGCGCGCCGCAGCGAGGTGTGTGTGTGTGGGTGTGTGTGTCTGGCACAAGAATACAAAGGAAGCGAGCCCTCCACGCAGCAGGAACAGAAGAAGAACAGTGTGGAATACGGGGAAGGGGGCACTTGGGCGCATGATACACACCCACACACATACATAGATAGCGAGAGTATATATATATATATGATGCGTCGCTACTGATTTGCCAGGGGAATTCTGGCACTTTTTTGTTGTGCTTGTCCCAAAGCACAGTGTTTGGGCGTTTACAGGGCGCTTCCCTGCAGAAGCGGCGCCGCCTCGCGACGGTGGCGGTGGCCCATCCTGTCACTGCTGTCATCCCCGTCGTTGCCGGCGTCCTCGACGCCGGCGGCAGCGTCTGGCGGAGACTCGCGGTGGCGCGCCTTCTTTCCAAGCAGACGCATAAGGCCGAGAGCCACCCACAGCGCCGCTGACAGGAGGACGTAGAAGATGGCGGCGTTGCGGCAGCACTTGGCCTTCTCCTCCAGCGACCAACCCTCCTTTGCCGCGAGCACCTCAAAGGTCCAGCTCCCGTGCTGCATGAAGGCCGCAAGCGTGAATAGGATGACCCCCGCCGTGAGAGTGAAGGGGGCACAGCAGCCAAGAAGAGGCGCTGCCGCCATTGACGCCGCAGCTGCAACCCTCTGTCTTCCTCGCCCCCTCCTCTTTTTCCCTCTTGGGCCTACTCCTGATGATCGCGTGCGTCCCTGACCACCTTTTCCCTTCGACGCCGCCGCCGCAGATTCCCGCACGCAGGCGTGTTTGGTGCTCCCGCACCCAATAAAAAGGGGAGGTGCCGTTGAACAGGGGAAGGCACAGACACACAGCGTGTGTGTGTGAGAGAGAGAGAGGAGGGAGAAAGAGAGGGCGGCGGCGCCGTCCTTGCGACTCGGCAACAGCGCGTTGGCGTTCTGGTGGGCGTACTCCCAGAAACGGCGCCCCCTCCTCTGCCGCGCATTCGTGGCGGCAACGAAAGGCAGTCTTCCAATTCGGCGGAAAGCAACAAAAACCGTAACAACGAAAAAAACTGGTCTCCGACTCGCTCCCCACGAGCATCGCCGGCGCCTCCTCCTCCGCACTAAGAATCCCCCCAGAAACAGAAACGAAGCAAAACACACAGGGGGAAAAAACACATACTTGCCAACGACAAACATAAAATACTACCGCCTTTGTTCACGCCTGCGCCGGTTCAACGCTGCATCATGAACGCGCGACGACGAGGGCGACTGGACTCGGGGCACCCTCCCCAGAACAACGCCCTCGAGCGGTGGCGGATTCTGCGAGTCAGCAGTTGTGCTCCCCTTCCCGACTGGCGCCCGCTCCTGGTGGGGACGGACGGTGCCCTTCATGAGAAGCGGGGTGCCGCTGGCCGCACATGGAGCTTCTCCCACCGATGGCCTCTGGAGCGGTGCGCCGGGCGTTACGGCGGGCGACGGCGACTTCTCCTTCACGCCCAAGGAAATTCCTTGTTTGGGGGGCTCCACGCCGGCCTGCACCTGTGGCGGGCTGCCCTGCTGCACGCTCACCTCCTCCGGACACGGTTGGTGTGCTTCGCGTGTTTGTGTATTGGTGGAGGAGAGGGCCAGGTTAACTCTGCAAAGCGGCTGTGCGGAGAGGAGGCTCGCGCTCTCGCCAACATGTGGTGCGAGCAGCCGAGTGAGGGCACAGCCAAGGGCGAGGCCGCGGTGTGGCACCCCGGTGATGCGCACCGGATCGACAATGTTGCACGGGCACCCCAACCCCGCGTGGGGCGCCAGAGATGCGCTGCCGTCGCCTCTGCGGCGCTCGCGCACCCTCGTCGCTGCCGGCGGGAGACGGCGGAGCTTGCCGAGTGGAATGATGTCTAAAAACCGCCGCACAAGGAGGTCCGTGGTGGCGGTCTCTTCAGCAGCGACCGCCGACGGCATTGCCGCGGCGGGCAAGTCGCTGTCACGGTTTAGCAAAAGTAGGCCTTGAATGAGCATTAGCCTGCGACGCTTCGTAGCCTGTGGGGCTGCTGAGGCCGAGGCAGAGGCGGAGGCAACGGCATTATGCGTGCTTGTTGAAGACGTTTCGCCTTCGCGTCTCTTTGCTACAAGTTTATTGTCCCGGGACAAGAGTATCTCTTCCGTGTGCCGCAACATCTCCGCAGCCGCATGGAACGGGAATGGTTTGCGTGGCGCAGTTTTCCATGCAGCTGGTTCTGCAGTCTCCCTAATGTGCCGGTTAACGGCGGCATCGATGGCCGCAGAGTCACCGCGTGTGGGCGGAAGCACCTCGACTACGTTATTCCCCACAAGGTAGAGGGAAAACCACAACGACGCGGCCGCATTGGAAGCTGCACGCTGCTTCTGCAAAATAAAAGACCTTAACGCCAGTCGGATGACGTCAAGGCGGGTTTGTGGGGGCACGAAGGCGCTTGCGTTTGCCGTCAATGTGCCCGCGCCTTCGGCTGGGCCATTCGGGCAGCTGTTACCGCCGCTAGTGCCGGGCACGTGGTTCGGGGCATCGAGCGGGTACGGCAGGGCGTGGTCGGTGCGCGTGATGGAAGGGTCCATGTCCAGAAAAATCACCACCGCCTCTTCTCGTTGCATGAGATGCAGGTCAAAGTCCATCATGCGCAGCAACACCCCCGCGGGCCTCTTCTGCCGTTGCTTGACTGCCTCCTACTTTTGCCTGCGTGTGTGCGTGTGTGTGTGTGGTTCCGCCTTGGGCGGTTTCTGACTCCGGGCCAGCTGACTCCCTGGGCCGCGCCAGACGAAGACGCTTCCTGTTTTCACGGCAGGTGGGAAAACGAAGAATGCGCGTGGCAGCACACACGGAGAGGCAGACAGAGAAAACAGGAAGAATAGTAACAATAACGGAGGAAAGGCGCTAGCGGCGCCAAGCGGGCTACGACCGTGGCAGTTATTTCTGCCCCTCCGTCGCCGTACACCAGACAAACAGAGAGACCTTCCACAGACACACGCACACACACACACACACAGTTGGCCTTCAACCCATAACTTCACAGTGTGGGCGTTTTTTTTTGTCTGGTTTCTTTCCGTTTCTTAAACGTCACAACTTTTTTGCTCTTGTTAAACACCGTCGCCGCCAACTACTGTGCCAGCGTCGGACACACGCACGCACAGAAAGAGATAGAGAAGGAAAGAGAAGGAGAGGGAGGGGCGAGAGGAAGGCGAGGGAGTTCTAGTTCCCTTTTGCCCGAAGAGGCAAGCGTCCGCAACGCCTCCCCCTCTTGACTCTCCCTCCCTCCCTCCCTCACTGCCTCTCTCGCTCTCTCACACACACCCTCGCTAGAGTAACCGTCGCAAAGCTGCGTTCTGCCTCGCTCCCGACGGCGACGCCGCCGCAGCGGTGTCGTGCCTCTCTGCACCGGGGCTTTGCTGCCGCCCCCGCAGCACACGAAGGTCGTCGGCGAATTCGGCCTCCTCGCGCCGCCGCTTCTTGAGTTGGCCCTGCGCCTGCCGCCGCTCCTCCTCCTGCTCCTCCTCCTGCCTCTTGCCGCCCTCGTCCTTGTCGCGGCGGCTGGCGCGCTGGAGCTTTGCCCGGCGCTGCTGCACGATCCTGGAGGTGCGCATGGTTTGCTTTGACCGCACCTTGTCCGCGCTGTCCTTCTTGTCCCACTTCTGCATCTTCCGCTCCTTCAGCTTCTCCTGCTTGCTCTTGAGCTCCCGCGTGGCGGGGCGCTCCTTGTAACCGAGGTCCTCGTCCACCTCCTCGTCGTTGCCCACGTGCAGCCCGGCTGGGGCGGCGTCCGCAAGCGACTTGTCCGCCCGGCGCTGCTTCTTTTCTCGAATCGCCCGTGCCCTGCGATTGAGGCGTATGTTTTCGTTGTACTCCGCAAGCCGCGCCTCGTTGACGCCAGGAACCTGAATGTCGAGAGAAATGGTGTCGGGCGGCAGCTTGTCGAGCAGCGTCGAGACGACGCGCTCCTTGCGGTGCCGCTCCGTCTCGTGTGGGTTGGCGTAGAAGAAGTCGGGGTTGGCGTCCCCGGCGCCGGGGATCAGCATCGACTGAAAGCCGCGGGAGTGGCCGATGCCCAGGACATCCTCAAAGGGGCAGAACCGCACCTGCTGGGCAATGTTGCCGTAGCCGAGGCCAAACTTCATGTACGGCGCGCTCGGCTTGGCGCTGGAGAAGATGCCCTTCCACAGCTGCACGTTGGTGCCCCCGCCCAGGGCGACGAGGCCGGCGCTGGAGACGTCGACGGTGTTGAAGGTGTACGTCACGGCGTACTCCTCCAGCGCCCGCAGCGTGCGGCAGTCCCACACCTTAAACTTGTGGTCCCCGCCCAGCGTCAGAAAAAAACGACCGTTGGGGTGAAACCGGATGGCGTCAATGACGCCCTTGTGACCCTTGAGCTGCACGAGTGGGTCCACAACGGCTGGGGACCAGAACTTCACCACACCACGCAGGTCACAGCTCGCCACCACGCCGTTGCTGGGGTTGACGTCCATGCAGGAGGTGGGGTCTCGCACCACCGAGGGCACCTTCGCGCCCAGCTCCTGTCCGGTGCTGATGTCCATGTACTGCATCACACTGAAGCGGGTGGAGGCGGCACAGAGCAGCAGGTGCCGCGGCAGATACGCTAGTCGATCCATGTTTGCCATCTGCGAGAGAACGTGCATCTCCGCGCCCTCCTTAGTGTACATGTAGACATACTTCTTCTGCGCCAGCGCTGTCATTGTGTGATCCACCAGAAATTTGGCGTCATCGACCCGGTCCTTCAGCTGCACCTCGCCGTTTAGGGCAAAATCCTTCCAGCGAATGTTCGCCACATGCCCCCGCATCCCTGCAAGCAGAAGATGTGTGCCGTTGAGTGTGAAGTCCACCTTGTACGGACCCAACTTATCCAGCAGCAGCTCATACTTCTTCTGCTGCGTTTGCAGGTCCACGGCGGCGACGATGTCGTCCTGCGTGACGCGGTCCGCGACCTCGCGCTCCTCCAGCAACAGGCCTGTGTCTGTCCTCTCCGGCCTTGCGAACAGGTTGACGCGCGCGACGCGACGCGGGGCGCGCCGCTGCAACTCTTCGTGCTTGCGGGCCTCAGCGTTCTGCAGCGCGTTGTTGTCCGTCACCCAGCGGCCGCGCAGCTGCCGCCGCTCCTCCCCTAGCGTCTCCTCATGCAACTCCGCCCTGCGCTGCCGCACAATCTCCTTCGTCTCTCGCGACACCGCGGCACCCGCAACCATTTTTCCGCTCGCTTGGCTCTTTTTACCCTTTGCGTCGCCCCGCCCACCCCTCTTCGCTGCCGGGCCTCTGGACACCGCAGGAGTGAAAGGCAGAAGAACGACCAAAGGGGGAGGGGGGAAAAAAAAAGATAAAAATGCAGACACAGCGGCAGAGTACATGTGGCACGTCTCCAGAGTAACGGAGGACGGGCACCACGACGGCGCGGGAGCGAAAGGGTGGACGATTGCGGGCACGTGCGCCTCTGCGTACGAGCGTGAGAAAGAAATAGAAGGGCAGTGCGTGTGCGGGACAACCACGGCGTCTAGGCGCGCCGCGGAAAAGAAGGGGGCCTCCAACAATAAGATGTAAAAAGTAATAGAAAGGAAAAGGAAAAAGAAGCAGACACACGTACGTGCAGAAAGAGAGAAAACAAAAAATATTCCTCCGCCAGTGCCTTAACGGCGGCTAAACGCAACGGTGATTAACCCCCCTCCACCCCCCACTCCCTCGCTCGCATAGCCCGGGCCGCGTCATTTTTATGCTTCTTTTTCTGTTCCAGTTGTTGTTGTTGTTTTTTCTTTTGCTGTGTGTATGTGTGTGTGGCTCCTTGTTTGCTCCGTAAACACGAGCAAATTGTAAGTGCATGCACGCGAGTGGCTGACACGTTCCTTTTATTCTGAGTTGCGCGTTCCCCCTCCCCCCTTTCCGCCGCCTGCTCAGGGTCCCCCGCACACGCAACAGGCAAGCACACAGGCATAAAAAATAATAATAATATGCATCTGCAGGTTTAGCAGTGAACCCTCTGCACGTACACACACACACACACACAGACACACCTCTGGAGATAACAAAAGCCAAAGATGGGGGGGAGGGGGCTGCACGCAAAGATAATTGTCATTGCTACTGTCTCACACTTCAGTCTTCTAGCAGCATTTGGTCCAGCTGTTCTAAAATAGCTCTTGACTGCTCCCAGTAACGCCTCTGCAGCGCTTCCAGCTGCAAGTCACCGCCCACTGCTGCTGCTGTAGCCGGGGCGTGTGACGGTGACGTGTCCTTCCTCATAGTTGTGACGTTGCTGGAGGAGGGCAAGGGCAGGGCCGCGGCCGCACCCGGCGTGGAGTGCTTCGCTCTGGCAGAACGGCCACGGGTCGCGGCGGGCGGTGCTGCGGCTCTGTTGCCAGCCCCCGCATCGCCCACGGCTGCAACGGCATGACTCCTCCCTTGTCGTGCCGAGGCGCTGCGAGGCCGCGCCCCAGCAGCTGCGGCGCTGCACCTTCGCTGCGGCGACGCCGACGCGGACGCGGGCAGGGGCGGAGGAACAGACCGCGTGCCTTTCCGCGGCCCCGCGGCGGGCCGCGCAGTCTCCGTTGGCGGTCGGCGGTGCGAGTGGTTGCAGCGGTACATGAGTGAGCGCTTCAACGACTCCAGCACTTCTATCGCCTCCTCCGCGTCGAAGCGGTCAAGCAGCTGCGGAGTTCCGCGGGGGCGGAGGTGCCGTCGCATGGAACCGCCTCGGCGATGCGTTGGAGCCGCCGCCGCCGCCGGGTGCCATTTTTGGCTGGCAATGTAGGGGTCGTGACTACTTCTACCCGCCCTGCCGGCGGCGTGGTGCTCCCGCCGCGCCGCCCCGTTTGTGGGCGGCCGCGTTGAAAGAAACCTCCCCGGCGAGCGACCGCCGCCGTCGTCGCCGTCGTCTTCGTCGTCGTCTGCGCGGCACGGGCGTCCCTCACCACCTGAGCGGGCCGCCGCCGCCTCCTCGCAGCCCCGGCACACGTTTGCCGCGGTCGTCTCCCACCCGCAAATGCCGCCCCGCTGGTCTTGCCGCGGCGGCGGCTGCTGATGTTGCCTTTGCTGTGGCCCCTGGAACAACAATTGGCGTCGCGCCGCATCGGACCTCGGTGACGGCCCGGCACTACTGACGCGTTGCCGTTCCCGCGGCACATCCCGGCCCTCGCTGTGGCGCGGCCCCTCCGATGCGAGTTGCTTGTACATCATCAGCTCCCGGCGCGTCTCTATAAGCTCTAACTCTAACTGTCTGTTTAGCGCAGACATGTGCAGCAGGAGCTGCTCCAACGCCCGTACGCGGTCGGCGGGGGGCGTCGCCGCCGGCCCACCCGCCTCACCCTCTCCGCAGTGCCGGGTTTGCCGCGCCGCATCGCTGGACGGCGACTTCGGCGGCACCGCTGCCTCTTGCTGTTGTGTTGCCTGCTCCACCGGGCCAACGCCGTTAACCGCCTTCTCCTCCTGCTCCTCCCGCCCCCCGTTTTGATGCTCCGCAGCGCCGGCCGCGGCCTCCTCGCACAGCCGCGCCGCCCCCGCCTCGGCCGGGGGGCAACTACCAACGCCCACTGCCGCCGCCGCGCCGCCGCTTACCTCCCGACGGGCGTGGAGCACCTGCGACCCCGTCGGTTTGGCGGCCGTCGCGTCCGCGCGTCGTCTACAGCCGTCGCGGGAACCGGTGCGCGTCGGGGGGTTGCGGGCAGCGGTGGCGGCCCCGCGGCATGTCGGCCGAGTTTCTGCGGCCACGGGCGCGGCTCCTTTCCGCATGGGGGTGGGCGATCACAGCCACTGTGGCGAGGAAAAGAAACTTCGATGAGGCAAATAAATAAGAGCAAAAAAAAAACAGTCTGTGTGTTCGGGAAACTGAGTTGTGCAGGACAAATAACGGCATCGACGTCGCTGGCAGGCGTCTCGAGGCGTGCGGCGCCTTCTGCTGCCTCATTTCGCAGTATGGGACCCGTCGCCGCATAGCGAGCAAAGGTACGCCTTCGTCACTCAAAACATCACACCCCCGCGGAACAAATTCAACGAAGAAGGGATAAAAAAAACGAACATACAATCACGTGAATGCACGCACGGACGCACGCACAGCAGCCGCCATTCATCCTCCCCTTCCCCCTTTTGCTCAGTAGCTGCGTGTGGCCCTGTCTCCCGCGTTCCCTCTCAGTGGGTAATCTTGCGGAACCCATCCTGCAGATCCTCCCGCATGCGGATAAACTGCACCTGTTCCTCGTTGCTCATGAGTCGTAGAAGCCCTGTCTCTCGCACACCCTTGATGTGTCCCCACGGCATCAGCAGCAGACTCGCCGTCTCCTTTAGCAGGCGAAACAGCACCTCCACCACGGCACCGCCTAGCCCAGGTGTGCGGATAATCGGGCCCATAGCCTCCAGGTAGGCGGTGACGTCCTGCTTGTAGATGAGCGCTCCACGGTCGGTGACGATGAAGGCCTTCAGGTGTGTCACAATCCCCCGATACAGGCAGACGCCGACGGTGCGCACGAAGGAAGATGGCCCACCGTCGCCGTACAGCAGCTGTTGCATGTTCATCGTCCGCGCGCGTGCCCGCACGGCGCTCAGCACGTCGTTGGAGGCGACCGCAGCCGAGAGGTTACTCCGCTGCTTTGACATGGCCGCGTACTGGCCTGTCACCGCAGCCGGCTCAAGCATTGGGCCCGCGGCAGCCCCCGCTGTGTTTTGTCGCTGCGGCACTTGGCCATTGGAGAGTCGCACAAACTCCTTTGCCTCCTCAAACTGCCTTGTGACGTACAGGCAGAAGAGGGTGCAGGCGCGCGTGCAGGGCTGGGCAAGCATTTCCCCCTCTGCCCCCTTTGCCACCTTCGGTCTGTAGTCGTTCCGTTTCTGGTAGTGCAGCAGGATGGAGAGGGAGCGCACAATGATGGCGTTGGCGCACAGATTCAGCAACGCCTCGGCGCGCATGTCCAACGCCTCGTAGGCCGACTCCTTCGCCTCCTCAATCGCCGCCTCGAGGCGGGGGTCGGCCTGCAGGAGCGGCGCGCAGCTAACCGAGAGGGCGTCATTCAAACTCATCAGGGAGGACTGCACAAAAAGCAGCATGCGCAGACCACACTGCTGCGACTCAAGCTTCGAGGGCCGCAGCAGCTCATCCTCCGACTCCGGCTTCGCCCGCCAGTGCTCGCGATCGGCGCGGAGCGACTCCATCATCTTGCGCAGCTCCTCGTCCATGTATTTCCCCATATTCTCCAGCGAGGCCTGGACGAGGTCCAGGACACACGGGGCGACGTCCTTTGCCGGCGCGTAGGTGCGCGTGCGCGCCACCACCTCCGTGAGTCGCTCAACGAGCTCCTTCGTCTTCTTCATGTGCGCCTCCCGCAGGTCAAACACCTCGTCCGGGACGGAGTGCAGGTCTCGGGTGTACTGCTCCTCCAGCATCGTGTGGTAGCGCCGCAGCAGCACAAGCTCCGCCTTCCGCTCCGCAAAGGCGGCGCGGCTGGTAAAGATGGAGTCGACGTACTTCTCAAGGAAGTCCGCCTCACCTTTTTCGAAGGTGGCGCGCAGCTCCTTGACATAGTCCTGAAAGAAGCTAAACAGTCTGGCCTGCATGGTGTGGGCGTAGGCCATGGCGTCCGCCACCCGCGTCGAAGCGCGCCGCTTGGAACGCGGGGACAAGCGCGCCTCCGCCTCCACCATGTCTCGCGCAAAGAATTCCGCAAGCTTCAGCTGTTGCGTGACAAATGGCTTCACCACGCCCTCGGTGACCTGCGCAAGCAGCTGCTGTCGTGCAGAGTTTGACGTCCCAAAAATAGTTTCCACGACAATGACGTCACGGCGGGTGCGGGAGAGAAGGAAGTCGAAGGTGCGGTGCAGGTCAGGCTCCGTACTGCTGCGGTAGTGCTGCATGGCGGCGGGGGGCGCCGATGCCGTGGCCGCGCCACTGAGTGGCGGCTGCGGCGGGAGAGGCTTCGGCGAGTACTCACTAAAGAGAGTGATGCCCATCTGATTAATCGTGCGTGCGTAGAAGGCAGAGAGCAGCGCGTCATGGGAGTCGGTGATGCTGTTGTAGAGCCGCGAGACGAGTTCGAGTGTCTTGAGGAGGGCGCGACCGTAGGGCTGGTGCACCGCAGTGTCTGGGTGCTCCTTGTAGAGCTCGTTGAAGCGATCGACGAGGTGGAAGACGTCGGCCATGAGTTCCTGCCGCACCCAGCCCACGTAGAGGTCAATGTTGGACGTGCCCCCGACGACGCTGTTGAGCTCGCGGCAGAGGTGCGTCAGACGCTGGCACCAGTCCACCTGGGCCTCCGTGCAGCTGCGCACGGCAAAGGTACGATCCAGGCCGGCCGCCACCGCCGCCGTCTCCAAGCGATGCATCTTTTCCCTCCCGCCAGCAGCGCCGCCACCAACTTTTGCTGCTGTTGTCGTTGTTGTCCCCATCGACGCTGCGGCCTCCTCGGGGCCTTGCGCCATCGTCACGACGCGGCGCCGCAGTTGGCGTGGCCCGCCTTGCCTAAACAGCCCACGCGGCCTCCCCGCCTCCGCCCTGGTGCGGCCGTAAATGCTGTCGTTTTTGACGCCAGCGTTCTTGGCGTCACTTGGGCCTCGGCCGAGCTCAGCCTCGCCGCCACGGGCGTCACTCTTCCTCTCCTCGGCCTCCTCCTGGCAGCTGCTCTCAGCCTCCTCGCTCTTTGCCGCCGCGGCGTCTTCCCCGCCGCCACCGCCGGCAGCGGCGCCGCCATAGTACATGGGATCCGCCGGCGACACGAGCCCAGCCTCCCACTTCGACGTCACCTCCCCGCGCTGCTCCGCGCGTGCCTTGGACAAGTTCTTCAACAGCGCCCCCAGCTCCGCATGGTTCATGTGCATAAACATCTTGAAGTGCTTCAGGAGCTGTGAGACAGAGCGGCCACGCATCACCCTTGCGTTGGACTGCGACAGGTGCTGCTCAATCCCCGCGGTCGCCGCCAGTGCGTTACATACGCGGTTCTCGTACTCGTGCAGGCGCGCCGTGGTGGCCTCCAGCCCGAGTCGGATGGTTGCCAGCCGCCGTTTCTCACGTATTTCAACGCGGCGACACCGAACCTCGTTGCCCCGCAAGGCGTTCTCCTCCTCCTCCTGCGTCATCTCAATCTCGGCCAGCGCGCGCTCCAGCGTGGCGGTCAGGCGGTTCGCAATGGCAACGTGGTCTTCGCCGTCCGCAGCGGCCTCATGCGACGGCCGGGCGCCGTTCCCCCCGCCGCCGTTCTTCGCGCCGTCGGCGCTGCCGCCCCCGTCCGTGGGCAGCAGCCACATGCCTCCTCCTCCGCCGGCTGCTGCCGTCGGCGGCGCCGCCAGCGTCGGCGAGGCGTCCCTCCGATGCGAGAGGAGGATGGGAAAGAGCACGCGGTTGATGATGTTGTTGACAAACGTCGGCGCCGAAAACTGAATCGAGCTAAAAACCATGCGGTTCAGCGGGGGCCCCTCCTGCTTGGGCGACGCCGGCGACTGCGGTGTCGCGCGCCGCTCTCTACGCGCGCCGGCGTCGAAGGCACTGCCCCCGCCGCCCTTCCTGCCGCTGCTGCTGGCCGCGAGCGGCGGGGAGGCCCCGCGAGGCGCACTCGCCGTCGTGCCCGCCGTCCCGCGCCGCACCACAATTTTCTTTCGCGCAGGCGATGCCCCACCGCTGCCAGCGGGATCAGCCGCGGGTGCACCTCCCCGCATCTCGCCGTTGCTTTGCCTCCTCGCCGCGTGGCTCAAGTGCCCCGAACGCTGCCGGCAGCGCGAGGGGGAGGGGGAAGTGTGTCGCTCGTGCCTCCTCCTTTGCGTGTGCGGCGGCGCCACGAGGCCGCGCGGACGGGCGGAAGAAAGCAGAGAAAGAAAAAGGCAAAAAGAAAAAAAGGGGAGGGAAGAAAAAGAACAGAGGGAGGGAGGCGGCGGCGGCATAGAGAGCTGGCAGGGCGGCGAGGGACGGGGAAACTAATAACAGTAATGACGGG